AAGTATGACAAACACATAGGGTATAATTAAGCACGTATTCAATAACTTCTTAACACCCACCTATCACGAACTATCATTAGAGCTGTCTCATGGAAAAGAGCCCCCCTGCACCCCGTATCTGTGTCTACAACAGGGCATGGAGACTTCAACAACATGTGCAACCCTGTTTCAGCTTTGTGATGCACAGGTGTATATCCAGGGACAGCCCTCACAATCTAAATTAGAAGATGGCTCCCAAACCCCGCAGCTAGAATGGTGGCACGGCAAAGCTTCAGAAGGACAGTTAACTTAGCATTTCATGAAGCTCTGCAGCGATCACGCTTAAAGCTGAAACCAGGCAAAGCCCACGTGATTTCTGTTCAAAGCCGAGATTTGCTCTGGTAACTCAGTTCAGTCAACATTAAATGATATTAATTAACGTTTGTGGTGGCCTTAAACAGGCCCATATTGTCTTCCTCCGCAACACCTCAGACTACTACCGTCTCCTCATACCTGCTTGCACAGAGCGGTTGGCCACCCGCCTGGCCTCACCTCGCCCTCCTCTGCAGAGCCACCCAGCCCAGCTCTGGCAGAGCTGCTGTTCAGACCTTCAAAGACTGGGCAGAACTTGCTTACATCTGCCTGTAAAAACATAACACAGATATGCTCCAGCTAATCTTTTGGAGAACAGTGCGGCCTCTACCAAAATAGCGATCTGAAATAGCCTTCGGGTCTGTTAAGATATGTAATAAACAACAAAGCAGTTACAATCAAGAGACTCAATTTCTCATGCTTTCTGTTCTTGCACATAGAGCAGCAACTATGGCAAATTCAAATCTAGACAAGATAGATAAGACAGATACTATCGACTGCACTGAGAGAAAACTAAGGGTTTGAATGTTTTCACTGAATTCCAGTAATAAAAAAGTTTTCTTCCTGCTTTTTTTGTTTGGAGAAAGATTTTTTGGAGAATTCAGAAAGGAGAGCTAATGTTTTTTGATGTGCAACTCTATGGCATGGGAAACCTTGGTAGGTATCTCGGCTACTACAGACCATCACATTCCATCTTATTCTTTGTGAGCCCTTCATACTTGTTTTGGTATTTATCTGCCTTGAGCATGAGGAGCTAGGGCTACTAATCTAACAGTCAACAGGAGTAACCACTGTTGCACGGGATGGCTGCTGCATTCTCCTCCTCTCCCCCACCGAAACCCTGATGGTTCAACAGACAGCTAAAAGTTGGGCCCAGAATACTATTTGCCAAGACCTAATGCCTTCCTGGCAGATTCTTCTCTATTTGCCATTTATTGGACTTGAACCAAGTAATCAGTGTCTTCTACACACAAGAACTGGAGAAGCGTGCAGTTTTTAATTGAATTAACTTGATTTTTGAAAGGCCCTTTTCCCACCACACCTCCAGCTCAGTTCTGGTGTAAAGAGAAACAGCCAGTAACTTGTATCAGCGATGAGTTCTGCAAATGCCCTGCTGTTACCAAACACGAATGCTCGGTTGCTAGCAGTTCAGACTAACTCATTTCCTCTCTCCCCACAGGTCCTGTAAAACCAGCCAGCACAAAACGCGTTATCGTTCTGGCGGCTTGCGAGTATCGCGTTTCTCAGAAAGCAAACAGGTCACTTCTCTAGTATACTTGTACTTTTGTCACAACCTGCTACGGCTGTCTCCTACTGAGATGCTAAGAGAACAAGTTTGCACTTCAGATCACCTGAAGATGTAGCTTGCTCCACAGAAAACTGTGCTCCAAAGGTGCACCTTAAGAGTTAAAACTGGCACATGCTTCTAAGGAAGATTAGAAACAGCATGGAAAACTGCACCATGTTTAGTTCCCATCTCTTTTCTTTTTGTCAAACCCCTTTCTTGGCTCTTATTTTTGTACTGACTCAACAGGCAGCACAGTGGGTAACTCCCAGCCCTTTCTCTGGAGTCCCACCCACATTTGCAGAAGGGGAAATAAAGAAAAGAAAAGAAAACCAAACACTGTAAAAAGCTATTTACTGAGCCCGTCCTTGTCTTTGCCCGATAGCGTCTGCACCCACTAGCCAGAAGTCACAGGGTGATTCCCCTGTGTCACCTCCGCCTGGTTTTTAGGGAGTGAGCGGGGTGAGCTCCCTTCCCCCCACCAGGCAGTGCCGGAGGGGAAGCGGAAGAAACTAGGCTCTTAGCAGCCTTTTTCTGTCACCATCCCTTTTCGGAGACTCCCACCATGCAGGAGAAATCCCCGCGCTCCAGAGCGGAGGAGTGGAGCTGGCAGCCAGCTGCTTCCCCTAGCATCGCCCGCAGCTGCTCGCATGGATATCCCCTCTGGGGTGAGGGCTGCCGCAGGACCCCGGCCTCCGACCGTGCACAGCTGCAGGGGGGTCAGACAGACACGGCAGTCTTAGCAACAGGGCAACAAAGAGCAGCCAGCTCACCGTCGCCTCATTTCCTGCAGAAAATACTTACCCCAGTCTTTTCGGTTCGGTCTCTGCGGGATCTGCGGGGAGGGGAGCCTGCATCACCTGCTAATCCAAATGCTGTCCGAAAAGAGAAGACCGGGGGGAGGGCAGAGGGGGTCCCCATGTTTGGCTTAAGTATTTGCAGGTGTTATGGTCGTGGGAGGCATTTCTCTAAACCTGATGAGGGAGCTTCAGTGTGAGTTTGGTTTTAGCAGCCTGCAGCTTCCAAGGAAGAAAGCTGAGTCAGGGGTGCCGATGTCTTCCAACACTCAGCTCTATTCAATGAAGCAAAACCAATGCTAAGTCTCCGGCTCTGATACTTGCAATGAACATTGCTTCAAATATAATCCAACAGCTAATAACAGCACGTTATTAGGGAGCTTTTATCAAAGAACAGAGATTTTCAACAGCAGGATTTCTTTGCCTGGGGATACTTAGGCCTCAAGATAGATTTACCGAAGATAAAAAGTTAAAGAGACTAAAGACATTTATTCTAAAATAGTGGCTCCACTTTACATGAATTAGAGCACCCTTAAATTTATACCTGCAGGTAATCTCAACCTTAATCTTTCTGACCCAGGAGAGGAACAAGCACTCTGGAGGTCAGACAAGAGCCCAACCTGTAACATTTCCATACATCCTAGTACAGAGAAACCTACCCACATTGTGTCCTCAAGAATAATACAGCAGGAACACGAGGTATTTTACATAAAACACAGAGGAAGCAGTACTCTAAAAAAATAGCTGCTCTCACCCATTCAAAGGCAAACCAGACTGAATGATCTTAGGCAGGAATTTAAAGACTTCAGTGTATCAACGTGATACTCGCAAGCTGCCCTTCCCCTTCCCTGGGAAGGGCAGAAGGGATTTAGTCAGTAAAGCAACTGTCAGGACAGGATCTCAGTTTTACGATTTATCCAAAAATACCACACGCAGCTCAAAGACAGTAACCTGGACCCAGTTTACCATTGATTTGAAAGGCATGACACAAGTGACAAAATATTTTTAACATGCACTTAGATCTCAAACTCTATTTGTATAACTACTTAAGGATGCAAGCAATACCCAAGCCTTGGCAAAAGCAGTTTCTGGTCTGTCGTTGCTCCTAAGCTTGGAAGAACCAACAAAGGTGCAGTACTAAATGTGCAGGAAATAACAAAGGCAGTAATTGCCTTGTGACTGTATTAGCAATTTGCATATATTAAAACAAGTGGAGATTTTCATCATTTTGGGACTGGGAGGTGCACGCTGGAATACCTCTACTGCTTTTGCCCAGCTAACTTTGCTAAGGTAATGTACTGCCGCTAGACTTTTCTGGTATTTGTACTTTTTATGCTATTAGCAAGAAAGTGCTGAACTTGACACTTCTGAGCAACTACAGTTATTTAAATTGTTGTAAGGTTATTTACTAATTCCCAATCCACTTGAAAACCCATGCAGCTTCCAGGACAGGGGGCCAAAACCACCCACTGGCAGCTATGCGGTGCTTCACCTGGACTGGGTGTCATACCAGTAAGCCCTTTACAGTCACATCTGCAGACAGCTCTGATCTCATCTAGGGTGCTGACCTTTAGAAGAAGAAAAAGGAAAAAAACTCAACACACCCATGCTGAGGCCTATTAAAGTGTTACCCCTCAGCACTCAACCCATGCTGAGGCCTATTAAAGTGTTACCCGCACAAAGATTTTCCTCAAGTTTCTCTGGAAGAGGCCTATGGTTTTGGGTGAATCAAGTACTAGGTTTTGCTGAGCGTGTCCCATACGTGCTGTTTATGCACAGGACAGACAGACGATACGCCGCTAGGCTCTGATTTGTCACAGAAATAACATCCTAACCACAAGAACAAAAATAAACCATCCAGTTTCACAGCCGTTTCAGAAGATTGGCACAGATTTTCGCTCATGACTCTAACAGGACAAAGATGGAGAAAGCCCTGGGCATGAGCTCTCTCTTCTGAAGGTCTCCAGCTCCTTGGCAGCTTCGGAGGAGTCTCCCCCAGCCGAGACTGTCAGAACAGGGCATGCAGACAGCCGGCGGCAGTGTGGAAAGGACCAACAACACAGCCAGCAGCAGAGAGAGGCTTCACAAGTATCTGCACAGCTGGGGAGAGACTGAGCAAGGCTATCCTTGGTTAAACGGTAAACAAATCTTAAATCTAAATCCTCCCGACAGGAAGGCTGATAAAAAGCTTCCCCACTCAAAGCATCCTGCTGCCTATCTGCAACACAGGTTAAGTTTTGTCAGACAGCTAGACACAAGACAATTTTAAAGCTATAGGCTTATAATTATTTCATACAGCAAAGCAAAGCTATTATCAGTTACAAAATGTAAACCATCTATAATACAACTACCTCTACATTGTTCAGGTTTGGGGGGGGGTCGTTTTTCTTGCTTTTTTCAATCTAGCCCTGTGACAGAGAGAAGCTCCTCCCAGGCTGTACCATGCACAAATGAAAGCAGCTTTCTCCGAGGAAAGCCACTAACGCTTTAGCAATGCTTTCCAAGCACAAAACCAGGCACGGACCTTGTAAGAACACACAGCCAACTGCACGAAAGCTTTTGCTCACCTGATTTTCCCATGATCAAGTGGTGGTTTGGGTTTTTATTAATTCCACCTGCTGCCTCCTCTCTTCACCGAGTTTCGCTGCTAAGTGCCAGGGAAAAAGTGTTTGCAATTTCAGCACAACTTCTTCAGTCGCCTGCAACCGCTGCCCGAGAAAACTCAGCAGCATGAACCCGTTACCGCCCCTTCTTCAGCACTGGAGTAAGCCTGCCCATGCCTTATAAGGCATAGGGACACCGCTTTTTTTTTTCTTAAAAAGATCCTGTTTAGGGTCAGGAGCTATTTATCCTCCACAGTAACCAAGCAGCTCCAAAACACCATATGGTTTCACATACCAGTTTAGCTTAGTAATCGCGTCTGTCTTCTGATAAGAGGGGGCTGTGAAAAGAAATTCTGCTGACAAATAATTCTGCTGCCACAGTGGGCATAATCCATGAGGTTAATTCATACAGCTAAATACTTGTTAAAGTTTTACCCAGTTATCGTACATAAAGCTGAAACAGGCAAGTGATAAGACAGTTGGAAGTATAACTACGTTTTACATCTAAAATAAATCACTTTCTCCGCTGTTACAACATAGACTGTAGAAGGTATTAGTAAAATGCAGCATAAGATTTTACAGGTTAAACAGGCACCGTGCTGATGGTGTATTTCTGTAAAAAGAGTTGGATATGCGTATGCCTCATTTTATCTGTGCAAGCACACTGTGCCACTCTTATCTTCACGCTACATCGAAATACCTCAAACTAATCTGGCAAATATTAACTACTTCAACTACGGCAAACACAATACTTTGATTTAACTTCAGAAGTGCTACATCTCTCCAAATAAAAATTCAGTTACGTGTTTCCAACTTTCATCTTTTCATCATCACAGAAAAATCACCTGAGGTTAATGCTTCCCAATTTTTTACAACACCTTTCAAAATTGTGAGGTTCTACTTGGTTTTGTGCCAAGCCTGCTGGCTCAGCAGGTTTCAATTATCCTTTATCTACTTCTGGAGCTGAGCTCCATGACAAGAAAAGAAAACTCAGAAATAAAAAGATGTAGGTTTTTTTTTTTTCCTTTTTAAACAAGTAGCAGCAGCAGGTGGGGAAAGACAACATCCCTTCACCAACACACTGCTCCTCCTGAGGTTGCTTCACTGGCAAGGCTGAAACACAGGCCGAGGGGGTGTCACTATCTAATAGCTGATGGGATCACTAGGAAGAGGTACGGGGGCAACCGATCACCCCCCAGAGGGGGGAACCGCAGGGTGTGAGATCACCCTCATCTTCACAGCTGCCTGACGCTTCCTTTCGCTGGTAGCAAGGCAGGCAGCAGAGGAGGAGGAAGAGGTCAGAGAAGGTACAGAAGGAAATCTCTTCCCACTCCCTCTGCCGTGAGTGGCAGTAGTTGGCTGAGGAGCAGGTTGGAGAGCTGGAGCTGGTACTACCAGAACTCCTTAACTGGAGATGAAAGCCACTGTTGTATTTGCTTGCAGGAGTGAACAAACCATGGGCCAGTCTGTGAACCCTAGCCTCTAAAAATGCTCTGCTAAACTGGAAATACTGGGTTGTGCTGCTCCTAGGACATACATCAATGCTCAGCAATACCCCGTGCCACCCCATGGCCGTGACAAGGAGTAGAAGGGAATTTAAATTTGCATAGTTGGGAGTCTCTGGTATTTGAAATGTTCATTTATATCCTCGTAGTTGATTGTGGTATTTTATACTGTTTATCTTTTAGATCTTTATAATATTCAGCTGCATTATAAAGCAACATCCCCTTGGGACCTGGACTGCTACTAAGAAAACAGCATCAATAGGGCCACAAAAATGATCAGGGGGATGGAACACCTCTCCTATGAAGAAAGGCTGAGAGAGTTGGGGTTGTTCAGCCTAGAGAAGAGAAGGCTCCGGGGAGACCTTATTGCAGCCTGTCAGTACTTAAAGGGGGCTTATAAAAAAGGTGGCGGCAAACTTTTTAGCAGGGCCTGTTGTGACAGGACAAGGGGGAATGGCTTTAAATTAAAGGAGGATAGATTTAGACTAGATATAAGGAAGAAATTTTTTACGCTGAGGGTGGTGAAGCACTGGCACAGGTTGCCCAGAGAGGTGGTGGATGCCCCATCCCTGGAAACATTCAAGGTCAGGTTGGATGGGGCTCTGAGCAGCCTGATCTAGTGGAAGATGTCCCTGCCCACGGCAGGGGGGTTGGACTAGATGACCTTTAGAGGTCCCTTCCAACCCAAACTATTCTATGATTCTGTGATAAAAGTGACCAGAGACACCTGCATGCCATTTTCACAACATCCTGTGCAATCATAACTTGGAAAGGAAGGTTTCTCTGACCTGGCAAAAATCCAGTGTTACCTACAGGAAAAAAAATAGTGCTTTTTCTGATCAGAAAACAAGGAAATCAAAATCACTGGTCAGGCATGAAATGTGAAAAGTATCAGTACAAAGTAAATGCAATGACTCATCAGAGACTGGAAAGCAATGTAAGCTGAGATACACAAAAACAAAGAGGAAGGCAGGAGCTGGGCTTTTTTAGCATTTTAACATTACCTGCTGAAATTTCCACACTAACGAATATTGCTGATCTTATCAGATGGAAATTTGGAGGAAGTATGTACACTAATAATTAAGACTGTAATCAAGTCTGAAAATAATGAAAGTGATTAAATAAAAGCCACTGCTAGGGAAATTTGCAAACTGTAAATCATTAATATCCTTTTACCAGTTTCAGGTAGTATCAAACATACTGGAATCTGAGTGAAAACAAACGGGATTTCCCATTTGCTTTATGATGTATCAGAGCACCTCCAAATGCGTGCTTGTTTAATTACTGCATGATCCCTTTACACAGAGAAAATACTAGGATGACATTGGTATTATCCAATAGTGGGCATTGGAAACTATCTTACAGAAACAGAAATGTCCTGACACAATGTCAGATCCGAGTCCAGCATTCTGCCTCATATAGCAACACCTACAAAACATTTCTGGAAAAGATGCAAAAAAAGTACAATGTGGATTGACTAATTTTTAATTGTTCCATCTTTATGCTAAAAGGAAAACAGAACAAAAACAGCTGGCTAGAAAAAGTAACACTTAACTAGTAAATACTGGTGTAATAAATATTCTTTCTGGAAATAGGTTATAGAGCACATAAGAAGGAAAAATGCAATTTGAAAGGAAGTGCTTGAATCATTACAATCAGGGAGTTAGAGATAATTCATCTGCAGTAGAGCTATTTCATCTGCATCCTGAAAATCTGTGGCTAAAGTTTTGGTGTCAAACTGAGTATGTGGCATTCAGATGACAAAACAGATTCCTCCTTCTACCCTATCTTCCCTTTTCTCCCAACAAAGCAAAACAATGTCACCCATCCGCATCAACCACTTCTCTTTACCTTCATGTGACTGACCCTAGTGCTCACAGTCTCATAACCTCCTCCGGTGCCACCGTCTGTAAACCCACATCCTTCCCCTGCTTTGCTTTCCTGTCTCTTCTGGAAGCTTCCTGCACCCCTTCCCACCAGCGGTTTCTCTTTGCTGTCCCCCAACCTGCCCTGTGCGACCTGCTGCTCGCATTGTGATCAGCCCTGAGTAGCCGCAGGTACTTCTGCAGTGCCCCACAGGCTGCCTCAGGGCATGTGGACCCGGCAAGGCCAGCGTGGTGGAACTGGCAGTGTGAGTGTCCAGGCCCAGCTGGGACTGTGCTGCTGCCTGTTGTCTCACGTAGCTTAGTCTTCACAGCCACGTGCTGACAGCCTCCTATATTCCTCCAGTAGCTTCCACCAGCCAGCCATATATAGCTAAATCTGTAGAAACTCAGGACTGAACAGATGTCTTTTTGATAGAGCAAGAAACCCCAGGCAGAGCCCCGGTTACCCGTTGTCTTCCCAGAGGTCTGCCTCCGCACAGCTGAGTACTCATCTCCATCTGGCAAGAGGACCCACCTAAGCGGGACTCTGCTATGTGTCTGTTGCAAGGGCCCCAGTAGCATCATGGATTTCAGCCTGCAGATTCTGTTCCAGCAGCAGTCCACATGATGAAGTAACAGCTGGCCAGCTGCTGCCTATGCAGATCCCCAACTGCTTGCAGGCGGGTTCAGACACGTTTAAGAAGGCCTGAGATGAACCTTTTCACATGTGTGTGCTCTGATGGGTCCAGCTGATGCAAATGATGTCATCATTAAAGTTTTGAATCATTAATTCATTCCATCAGTTGGTATGAATCAGGTACAATTAGGTGCCTGCACAGACTGGGACAGACCTATGACATATGACAACACCGCCAAGGAGGTGTGTATGCCTCCCAGCCTCCTTTTAAACACAACACTAAGCAGTTTCTGCACAAGTCAAACCATGCATACAAAAAGTTTGTGAGCAATACTAAACGTAACAAATCTGTTCTCCCCAGAGACTCTTAACAAGTGACCCTAAGGACCAACAGTATTCATACGAATATGACTACACCACATATGAATAAGACTACATCACATACGAATAACATCATATATGGTGACAAGAACCATGAGTGAACAGTAAAATTATGCACCAGACTATCAATCAACTAGAAAACTGCACATTGAGGTAAAAGGAAAACGGGGCAAAAATGATGCTAGAATATTTGAGAATATTCCTCCTGTTCCAGTTTTGCCAGGCTTTGCTTGTGGGACCCAAGCTGGTATTGCCATTTCACCTGTAAAGTAATCCAGGCTGTGCAGCAGGTCACAAAAATTCAACTTTAACACAGTTGGAGATGTTAATTTTTCTTGCAAGAGGAGATACTCATCTCTGCTTTCTAGTTTGACCATAACTCTCAGGTGCTGAAGAAGATGAAAGGAACTGAGCTGAAAAGAGCAAGAGTACGAAAGCAAGGCTAGTCCTCTTTCCTCAGCACTGTGCTGTTATCGGCTGGTCACATCCACAAAACCCTCACACAGAAAACAGGAGACTGTCACTGCAGAGTAGTCATTGACTTTAACTTCTTCCTACACATTGCAAGATAAAAGTAGCGCGTGATGAATCACCAACAACAGTCTTAAGGGCTGCATTCAAAGCAAAGGTTTGGCGGACAAAATGTGGGAATACTGCTGTCCAAAGGAGAGTGTGGCACAGGCACTGCCTTTCTCTCGAGAGGCCCAGCACCCTCCCCAGCTGACATTCTTCAGGCTCGGTCCTTGACCGTCTAGATGTC